GTGTCCCTGGGATGCTTATTTCTGTTCCGTGGTCTAAATGGTCCACTTTGTTTCCCCGGCGGCCGTGACCCTCTTCCAGCCAGCAGGCCTTCTCCAGGGCCATGTCTCCCGGAACACATCCCACTTCAGCAGAGGACGCTCTTCTTGGGGCGTCTTACGTGTGCTCCCCCCGGGCAGCAAACACCTCACTGGCCGGGAGCCTCCAAGGAGGAAACAGAGTGGCCAGTTTTTACGCCGCCCCTCCCCCTCCCTATTCTGTAGCACCCACAGAGATCGTTTCACTCAGAAAGACTGTTTCCCTGCTGTGAATCCTTCACACGTAAGGTTCTTCAGGAAGCATGTGAAGAGCCATCATTTAGAAGACCCCCCCCCTCCCCCATCCCCGCCCCGCCATGTTTCACTGACCGCACTGAATTTCCACCCGGAGAAAAATTCATGCTACACATGTACGTGGTTAATGACAAGCTGTATTTGGTGCCGACGTTTTACAAAGGCACCACTTGACATTAAGAAGTGTTCTCTTCTGTATTAATGGCTCTGTCTTCTGCACTTTCTCTTCGAAGTTTCCTAAACTTTCCTTGTCAGAATGAAGAAATCTGAAAGTCCTATCATGCCGTTCTTTCTAGAGTCTCTAAATTGGAAACAGATAAAGACACTTATTAGTAATTTCTCACGGCACGCAGTACGATTTTTATGAAGCGCAAAACAACTGAGAAGTTTTACCTAGAAAAATGGATTCTTTCTGGTCTCTAATCAGTCATTCTTACCTCTGAAAAGAAAGCATTCTATTTTCTTGTATAAAAATGGGCATTTATTTCTAGGTGAAACGATCCATACTTTATATGTTTTTCTTCACTGACCCCTCAAATTTTAGTCACTACTGAAACAAAAGTATCCTTCTATTTAAAAAGTTGGTCGGGGGCGTCTGGGAGGCTCAGTCGGTTAAATGTCTGACTTGGGGGGCGCCTGGGTGGCGCAGTCGGTTAAGCGTCCGACTTCAGCCAGGTCACGATCTCGCGGTCTGTGAGTTCGAGCCCCGCGTCGGGCTCTGTGCTGATGGCTCAGAGCCTGGAGCCTGTTTCCGATTCTGTGTCTCCCTCTCTCTCTGCCCCTCGCCCGTTCATGCTCTGTCTCTCTCTGTCCCAAAAATAAATAAACGTTGGAAAAATAAAAAATAAAAAAAAAAAATAAATGTCTGACTTGGGCTCAGGTCACGACCTCAACGGTTCGTGGGTCCGAGCCCCGCACTGGGCTCTGTGCTGACAGCTCGGAGCCTGCTTGGGACTCTCCGTCTCCCTCTCTTCTCTGCCCCTCTTCAGCTTGCGGGCTCTCTCTCCCTCAAACATTAATATATATATAATGTCGGTCCAGTAAAACTGAAAGGGTGTCTTGCGTCTATGAAACTTTGGCATTGACAACAGCATGTCCCTCGATTTTCTTTTTTTAACTAGAGACACTTTTATTTCTTAAGAGATGGTGAACATTAGCAAACTACTATTGTCAGCATCAGTGGATGTAAAAATACTGAACTTCTGCATGGTCGGCGGGGAAGGTGAGAACGGTCTCAGAGGGCTCGTATTTTTACAGGCGAAAGGGACACCGGTTGGTGGCTCTAACCCGTATTTTACCACGAAAGGCAACCATCTCCTACGTTCCCAAGAGGATCCCGCTTGCCAAACAGTCTCCCGCCATGGCTCCTTGGAGACCCAAGAACAGAATCTTGCAGAAGGATGCCTGTCCGCCTGCCCTCTTGCTATCCGGGCTGTGAGGATTTCCAGCCACGGCAGACCCGACGGTCCTCAAGCCGCAGGGCAGAGTGTGCTTGCCGTGTTAGCTGTGCGGACAGCAAGCCAAGGCCCAACCGGAGTGTATTCCCCGCGTGAAGGAAGAGCCATCCACCGAGTGATGGAAGGAAAGCACTGAGTGCAATGTTACGCGGACCTTCCTTGGGAACCAGTGATTCTTCACCTCAGGTAGTAGCTAACGGCTTCAGAACAAATCTCGCCGTGAATGCACCGCGCCAGATTCTTCTGGACACAGGAAGGGGCCACTCCAACCTTCCAGGGGCTTCGCACACCTCCGGGGCGAGGTCCCTGCAGAGCCATCTCAGGGTCAGCCCCCGGGGCACCTCCTCAGCCAGGGGCCCCTGGTAGGCCTGTGCAGCCCAGCCCGTCTCTCCCACGCACACCTGTGGCGCATCAGTGCAAGGTCATGTCCAGCGCCTTTGACTTTGGCAAAGTCAAAGTGTCTCAAACACTGAGGGAATCGTGGAGGGAATCAACGAATTACCGAGTAGAAAGAAATCACTCCCGCTGCAAAAAGAGGCCTACTTGGCAAGTGTGCACAGGTGGGCGGGGAGGGGGCGGGGGTCCGGTGCTCGGCCCCAGGCCCACAGGCCCACAGTCCCAGAAGCCTGTCGCCGACCCCTGCCATCCAGTTAGCCTTCCCAGTCTGGGGCAGTGCTACAGCCTTGCCCTATTTGTCAGCTCTGGTCTGGACCTCTGCAGAAGTTTCCGGAGTCATCATGTCTCTCGAGGGTCTTCTGGCCAGTACCCACCCCCAGTTCCCTCGGTAGGCTCTTCACCGGACACAACCCGGACTCCCTAGAGGCTCTGAACCTCTCCTCCTCCACCACCTGTGGGGGGCAGGCAGGCCAAGGGTCCCCTGGGCACCGCTGGGCGGGCAGACGGCACCGCATCCCGTCGCCACCCTCCACGAACATCACATCAGATGACCTCACAGAGGGACAGAGAGGGGCCTGTAGGAGAGGACTCTCTGAGCAGGGACGTGGGGCAGTCATGCAAAGGGGGTGGGATGTTCGGGAAGAACAAGTGTGCTTGGGGTGGGGGAGCTTGGCCTGCTTGAAACACTCGGGGACCCGTGTGGCTGAAGCACGATGAGCAGGGGTCGTCAAACGCAAATCAGAGGAGCGAGCCTGCGGGTGGGCAGCTGTCAGAGCCTGCGGGACCCGGAGGCCATGAAGGCACAGAGGTTTTCCCTCTTAAAGGCCAGCTGACGGGGCGCCTGGGGGGCTCAGTCGGTTAAGCATCAGACTTCGGCTCAGGTCATGATCTCACGGTCCATGGGTTCGAGCCCCGTGTCGGGCTCTGTGCTGACGGCCCAGAACCTGGAACCTGTTTCGGATTCTGTGTCTCCTTCTCTCTCTGCCCCTCCCCCCCCACAGCTGCACTCTGTCTCTTTCTCTCTCTCTCTCCCAAAAACAAACATTAAAAAAAAATTAAAGGCCAGCTAACTGCAGACGGCTAGAGACAGGGGCAGTGGGAGGTGGGGACATAGGAGTGGAGAGAAGGCCAGAAAGATGTGAGATGGGTCAAGGGGGGGTAGGGGAGGACAGGGGCACCCATGTCTCTGCTCTGACCTCCCTCGTGGGGAGGAGGGTGGCTCGGTTTACGGACAGAGGGAAACCAGGGGGGGAACTCATGAGAAAGATTTCTGTTGGGACACGTTCAGCCTGGCTCGTGCACAGACATCTCAGCGGGAAGGTCAAGTGGGTGGTTTGATACCAGAGTCCAGAGCTGGGAAGCAAGACTGGCTTCAAAACAGGGCTGGGGGGCTGAGATTCCCAGAGGTGGGGGGGGGGGGGGGGACAGCAGGAGCGAGTCTCCGAAAGCCTGGTTCAACTCTGGGATGCTGCTCTCCTTGGCAGGGCGTAAGCTGCCTCCGGGCCACGGGACAGACTGGGTCTGGAGCTAGAGACTGGGTCTGGGGCGAGGTGACAGGACAGGGTCTATGCAGCGCCCACCGTGAGGACCTGAGATCAGGCGCGTGCTCTAAGACTGACACAGGAAGAGCGTGACTGTGACCAGACGAGGTGGGACCAGGAGTCAAGAAGGGGACAGTCCCAGGGCGGGCAGTCCCCTCCTATCACGTGCCACCGGGAGGCAGCCAGGGGTGGTGCTGGAGGTCTCAGGAAAGAAGGGAGGCACCGGGCAGGGCACATTTTAAAACCTCCCGGGACGCAGCCCTGGAGGTGGGGAGCCAGCTGCAGGGGGAGGGGCGCTAGGGAGAGGGGAAGGTGAGAGACATCCACGTGGACATCGGAGAGGGCAGGGGCGAGTCCCCAAGAACTGTGGCGTCAGGAGTGTCGGCAGGAAGGGGGTCACCTGGCGTGCTGTCCCCCAGGAGGAGCGCGTGCCAAGTCAGCAGGCGGCACGTGGGGGAAGGGGCAGGCTGGACGGCGGAGGACATGGGTCCTGGAGGAGGGGGGGCACGACACGGTGCAGGAGGCCGAGCCGAGGAGAGACGGCCACTGCGGCAGCTGGGGAGTCTGGGCGCTGGCCCTGGCCTCCCTGGGCAGGAGGGGAGCAGAGTCTGGTGGCAGGGACAAGGCCTGGTGAGCAGCGGGTGCCCTGCCCCCGCGTGTTCGCCTCTGCTCCCTTGTTCTCAGGGCCCTCAGCCCTGCCTGCGGGCCGGCCATGTCTGTCACTCTGCCAGTCTGGTGTCCGGCCCCTCCCAGCAAAGACAGAAGGGGACACATTCAAGGAACACGGCGGGAAGTCACCCCCCCACCCCCAGGGTCACTGCGGAGACACTTCCATCTTCCGCTTTGACACGCTGTGATGTGAGACCATTTGACGCCCGAAAGAATCAGGATAAATTCTGGATAAACTCATCTTAAAGACAGGATAGACCCTCCCTCTCAAGTGTGAAGAGAACCAGCGTCCCCCCCCCCGGGTCACACCCGGAGAAAAGCCGCCTCCTGCCGTGTGGCTTTCTCTGGTGCGGCCGGGGGGACACCTGGGAGCCGGTGTGCGTGGCCCTTCCCTCCCAGCACGGGCAGGATCCGCAGGAACCCAGTCATCTGAGGAAAAGCGGGAGAAAGGACCCTCTCCGGGCATCAGCACACTCAAATTCCGGGGAGCGCTTGGACTCACACAGTGTCCTTTAAAGTGGCGAGATAGGACTCTGTGTCCCCCTCGGGGATGTCCGAGTCCAACTTGGACAAGTAACGGTAGACGTAGGAGAAAGTCTCAAACGGGATGCGCGCGGGCCCGCCCTCAGGGTCCGTGGTCAGGATCTCACACAGATGCTTCATCGAAGTGTTCAGTGACTAGAGACACGACAGACAGGGGGAAACAATTACCACTTGGCGCCGCTGAAACGGAAGCCTAAGACACCCGCAGAGAAAACGCCGGAGCGTATTTGACAGGAGGTCTCCGAAGGGTACGTTCTCCTCGATCTAAATGAAGAACTGGGTAAGGTTACAATTGCCATAAACAAAGAAAAGGGCAGGTCTGATCACGATGCGATTGGCCTGAAAAGAATGTTAATCCACAGATTTTATTTTATATTAAAAAAAGGCGGGGGGGGCGCCCCTGGGTGCATCAGTCGCTTTAAGCGTCTGACTCTCGGTTTCAGCTCAGGTCATGATCTCACAGTTGGTGAGTTCGAGCCCCGTGTCAAGCTCTGGCACTGACAGTGCAGAGCCTGCTCGGGATTCTCCATCTCTCTCTCTCTCTCTCTCTCTCTCTCTCTCTCTCTGCCCCTGCTTGACTCACACTTTCTCTCTCTCTCAAAATAAATAAATAAACTTAAATACATAAATACATAAATACATAAATAAATAAATAAAATGGGAATGACTCTCCAGGATGTGAGGAAGTATCAGCCCCCTCAAGACGGGCCCCAAGCCAGCGCAGAACTCACCAGCCCCTTCAGCATCACCACATGCCTAGGGGACGGAGCTAACGCTCACCAAGTAGACGTGTCACCTGCCCGTTGGGCTCCGTGCAGGCCCCAGGCAGGGCCGGCCTTGCTCTGGGCCTTGTCTCAGCTCCGGGAAGCACCAGCCCCTTCGCCCCTGTGCACCGTGCCTCCCTCTGCCTGGGTCGGTCACCCCCACCCCCTCCCCGGCTGCCGGTACTTTGGCTTTGAGCCCGAAAGCCAGGCCTGGGAGAAGCCGTGCGTCTCCCACCAAGGCACAAGCTCTGAGCGGGCTGACTCTCTCCAAACCAGGAGGGCTCAAGGAAACGCACTCACGGAGGGGGAGCCACTGCCTACGTCAAGCACAGCGGGAAGGCCCACGCAGAGAGCGCCGGTTTAGTGCTAGACTGTATCGGATCCCTGGTGACCCCACGAGAGCCTCGTGGAGAAGCAGGGACCAGGCCTGTGTGCAGGGGACCAGCTCTTGCGGACTGTAAACTTTCCAGGAGTTTATTGAGAGGGTTGACCTCCCATTGGCAGCTTGAGACCAGCCATGGTGGGAGCATTTACACCTCATGCCAGTCAGGGCCCTTCTCCCCTGCAGAGAGCAGGCTGTTTAGGGGGGTGCACTTGGGAGGAAAGAGTGAGAAAAACACAGATGGGACGGTCACACACGGATCTGCCTGACCGGGACTGAGGCTGTGTAGGGGGACAGGAGTCGGCACTGCTTAGCTGGCCCGTTCACGGCTCCAGTCAAGGTGTTGGCCAGGGTTGGGGCCTCATCCGGAGGCTCGACTGGAGACAGACCTGCCCCCGCCCTGACCCAAGTTGCCGGCGGACTCGCTGCCTCGCGGCCGGCTCTCCGCGGACCCTCACAACAAGGCAGTGCACCTCCACCAGGCTCCAGGAGCTCCACCGGCTTCTCACACTCATGCCAGAGAAGACGCCTCACGCTTGCAGCAGGGAGAGGGGGAGAGGGCTCAAAGGGAGTCAGTGGGGCCCAGCGGCTGAGCGGCTGGCCTGAGGTGAAGCCAGCAGGGCAGGAGCAGTGAACACACCCCAGCAACGTGAAGAGCCACCAGGCTGGTGTGGGGGGGGCGGGGGGTAGATGAGCTGCCACCTTCGGGGACTCCAGGCGCCGGGCTGGGGGCTGGAGGGGAGGAGGCCTGACCAGCCCAGAGCTCCCCATCGCCGTAGCCGGGGCTCCAGGTGTCTGGAAAGCCACTTCCCACACCACCCGGGACCGAGGGCCGCTGGAAACCTTTCAAAGACATGTGGTTTTGTTAGATTTTGCTTTTATGTCCGTCGCAAGCGGGAGAGTCGCCGGTGGGTGTGGCAATGCTGAGCCTCAGGAGGGATGATGGGGACGGAAGCAGCCTTCGCGGAGCAAGCAGATGAGGTCTGAGAAACTGTGGCTCCAACGCTTCCGAGGAGGAGGCATTTAAGGAAAAAGTGCATCAAAACATCCCAGCATCCCTGCCTTGTGCAAAGGCCCGATGATGCTACCGGTGTTAACATTTCTGGCAATGAGATGCACCGCCATTTTTATATCCACGAGGGTTCGGAAGGCAACTTGCCTGGCTTTGTACCTGAGCCAGATTTCTCCGCTTCCAAGGGTTGCTCTCCAGCCAGAAGACCCTCGCAGGCAGGTGCCCCTGCCCCGACTCACTGTCCTGACACAAGCTCTTCTGGAAGGTGTGGCTGCACTTGCTTCTAGCCCGGCACTTAAGTCTGAGCCGTCACATGCGATTCAGGCGGGGACAGGAGACAAAGACAGGCCTGGAGACACCTGCTGTTTCCTGAGCAGCTTCAGGGCACCGGCTCCGTGGAAGCTTCTGTTTCAGCATTTTAGCTGCTCTTGTGGTGACAACAGAGGCACCTCACACCTCCCCCAATCCCCTTTTAGCTAGCGGGAAGTGACAATCTGTGTAACATCGTGACTGATCCCTTTAAAAAGAAGAAGGGGGGTCTCCTCTGAGGTGCGGCCTGATGGCAGCCGGGAGGGAGAGCTCAGTACCTCAAGCAGTGGTGTCACCCCCGCATTTCACTTTGAAAAAGTCTGAGGACCTTTTCACTTCCTTCCTCATCCTCAGGGGTTTTCTCATCTAAAACGCAGGCAGTTCAGTTTGGGGACCTGCGGCAGGTGAGGGTGGCAGACGGGTACTCTCGAGATGGCGGGACTTGGTCCTCGGGAGAAGCCCGTTCGTGAGGGCCGATGCTGCCCATGTCGCCGTCCGGGGAGGAGGGAGGGCCCCCACGTGTGAGCACAGGGACAAGGCCAGTGGAGGCATGTGGGTGGGGTGCACCCCGCCTCTTTCTCCCCCCTGGGGGAGACCCTCAGCAGTGGGGTGCCTGGTGCTGGGGGCCGGAGACCCCAGGGACCCAAGAGCAGCCCTCCTGGTGGAGACAGTTACCAAACTTGTCTGTGACGTGAGGCTCCCACCCACGGCGGGGGGCTGTTTCTTTTCCACGGTCAAATGGTAAAAGGACTTCTCGTGGGCACCTCAGAATGGGCTCAGAGGCCAAGCTGGGAAACCTGAATAGGGGAGCGAGCCAGGACGCTGCCTCCATCACTGGGCCACTGGGGAGATGACCCACTGTGCTTGGAGGTTGTCCTAAGAATTCCAGCTGGGCCCTGCTAGGAGGCTGGCAGGGAGAGCTTTTCAGAGTAAAACTCCTTTTAGGAAATCAAGTGATATTAAGGACAGTCCTTGGGAGTGGTTATTCTCTGAGACAGGAACCTGCAGGCTCTCACACGGTGCCCCAACCCGAGGGCGGCACACTCCTGGGCTCCAGGGAGCCCGGTGGCCGTGCATCGGCAGCGTGGAGCCCGTGGTCTGCGTTCAGATCCCGCTCTGCCACTTGCAATCTGAGTCCCTGAGCCTCCCTCCACAACTAGTCATCCTGCGAGGCCCGGGACGGCCCTTCCGCAGAGGGCTGCTGGAGGATTAAGGAGAATAGAGACGAAGGCGCTGAACGTCCCAGCCCACGGCGAGAACCCTGGACGTGACGCCCATTCGTAAGCGGCGTGTTTTGGACGGAAAATCGCGTTACACACACGCATCCTGGCCACTGGACGCAGAGCAAAGTTCATGCTTCTCAGAGGCTCTCGAGCGTCAGGCCGGTGGTTTGCCATTCCGGGCTTCCTCCCTCAGTGTGGGCGGAGGGTGGCGGGGGCTTCATTCACAACATTTTTTTGTACTAAAAGAGGTCCTCAAGCTTAAAAAAACAAAGCAAAGAATTTTGATCCCCTGCTTCGATGCTTAGGATCACTGCCGGTGCTGCAGAAAAGGAAACTCAAAGATCACGACATGAAATGTCATCTTGCTGGGCAAGCATCGCACGGCATCGGAGCAGGGGGCGGGGGGGGGGGGGGGGGGGGGGGGGGCGGGAGTCACCAGCACGCCCGCCCCGCCTCCCACCTGCCCCGGCAGCGCACACGGCCCGGAACCCCGTTTGTGGCTCGCGACGCGGTAAGCCAGGTGGCGGCGAGGCACGTCTGCCTGTTCTGTCCACTCAGGACGGGGCCCAGCTCGAAGCAGGGTGGGCTCAGCACACGTTTGTGAAGCAAGGGCGGCAGGCAGGCGCGATTCACAGGACTCTGAAGTTTAAGTAGAGCTCTTCTGGTCTTTGCAGAGACCTTGCATTTGATCCCTCTGCCCGGTGATTTCGAAGAGGAATTTGAGAGCACGGACAGCACGGAGGACGCGTCTGCCACCAGCCACGCAGAGACCGTGGATGGAGGCGGCGGGGTCGAGCCCGTTGTGGACACAGCCACTAGATTCCAGTTTACCGGAAAGCCTCTGTGGAAGGTGAACGGGCAGTAATCCGTCGTAAAATACTCGTCCTTTCCTTCCACTTCACCGCTCCGCCTCCTCCCTCTGAAGGGTTTTTAAAAAGCATAAACATAAACGCTAAGATGCCCCACGACACCACAACCGTCCCCTCCGAGGCACAGCTACGGGTTGCTGATGCGCCTCCACGCTGCCCCGCCAACGCGTGGGCATCCAGTGGCCTCTCTCCTTCGGGGCCTGGCTGCCCCGGGCCACCTGCACTCCCCCGCCCCCCTCTCCCTTCCCCACCTACATGGCCGGTGGACCAGAGGGGACGGGCACCAGCAGGAGGGGACCTTCCCTGACCGCCTGGCTCCAGAGTCCACGGCTCACAGCAAGCACTACTGCCGAGGTGGCCTGGCTCGGGGACGGGACCGGACCCCACACTGACCAGCCAGGATGACAGACTTATTCAAGGAGGAAAGGAGGGGCGCCCACGCTGGTGTCCTGGCCCCTTCCCCGGTGTTGCGTTCAGAAGGTGACCAGATGTCTCCACCTAGCGTCCCACCCGACGCGTGGACAAGAGACCCTGTCGCTTGCTCTGGCCTGGCTCCAAATCTAGCGCTTAACCGTCAGGCTTAAAGTGAAAGTGACAAAGGTGGCTCCCCCACAGTATGAAACATTCTACCTTCTGGGAAAATCTGAATTTCACAACTACACCATAAACATCCGTTCAAATATTAGATACTCATTTTACATTATGAAAATCTTGCTTTCACCGGAGTTCCAGATGAACCAAGCAAGGTAACGTTAGCTTCAGTAACGAAATCTGACTTTATCCTTCCCGCCGGTCACATCGGGGCCCGTCTTTGCTGCAGGAGGGTCCCCGGGGCTGCCGTCCTCTCCACGGCTGGTGGAAACACTGCCTCTGGGCCCCCGTGCAGCTCAGTGTGCAGCGTCCAGCCAGCACCTGGCTCTCCTGGGGTTTCCCACTTTCTCACTGGGGCCCTGAGTAGAACCAGTGAACTGTGGTCCATCACAGAGTGGCTATCACACGGCAGAGGCCATGCACGACCTACAGCGGTCTGTAATAATACAGACGGACAGATAAGGAAATCTAACTGGGAGTGAAAAGAAGTTCCAGAAGGTTACTAATAACAGAATCCTCTTTTCATAAAGTTGAAACCAACGAAAATAAAAGAACGTTCTTTCTTTCTTTTTATTTTTTTTAATGGTCATTTATTTTAGAGAGAGAGGGGCACACACAGAATATGAGCCGGGGGGAGGCGGGGGGTGGGGGTGCGGAGAGGGAGACACGGAATCCGGAGCAGGCTCCAGGCTCTGAGCTGTCAGCACAGAGCCCAGTGCGGGGCTCGAACTCACGAACTACGAGCTCATGACCTGAGCCGAAGGTGGACGCTTAAAACCGACTGAGCGAGCCAGGTGCCCCGAGATAATGTATTTCTTGGGGTATGTACGTGGCCCCCAGGAAGCGTGAGATTTGGGATAGCGGTTGCTTCGGGCCAGGGAGGCAGGGGGATCGAACGGAGGAAGAGAGCAGAGGCCCTCAGCAGCGGCGCATTGTTGGTGTTAGCGATCATGTGGGGATCATGGGCGCTTCTGACATTAAATGACTGTCTAAAATTAAAACCGGAGATGAGTGCGTCATGAAACGTGGACTGAATTACTAGTCATGCTCTCTGCGGTGCAAAGACTATAAAAAGGGAGGGCAGAAAACAGGTGGCCATCTCGGCAGTGAAGGGGCCACTTTCCTCCTAAAAACCCCTTCTTCACAAGCGGACAGTGGTAGCTCTTCCTCCCTCGGACCCCGGTGTCTCACAGACTCGAACACTGGAGCTGGAGAGAGAGCGTCCAGATCCCCAAAGAAGTCCGGTCCCTCCTCTCCCCGCCCCACTCGGTTCAGAGACGCCCTTACCTTGGGAATTGGAGAGTCGCCTGTGTCTTGATTCCCAACGGTCGTACTTCAACATAAGCCAAGTTCACAATATCTGTCACCTACTAATCACAGATTTTAACTCAAATATAAACTAACTTTACGCCTCTTCCCACAGAGGAGGAAAATAACATCTGCTTACGAAACGGTGTGTAGTTTCATAAAAAGTCACTGATGCATTCTCTTCTAAAACCCAAATGCCTTTTAATGATATTTTATCTACTTTTTTTATCTACTTTTAATGATATTTTATCTACTGTTAACAATTTTAAAATTGAAGCATTCGTAAGTCTTTAACTTTCCCAAATTAAAATAACTGTAAGCCCAGGGGCACCTGGGTGGCTCCGCTGGGTGAGCATCTGACTCTTGGTGTTGGCTCAGCGTCATGACCTCATGGTTCATGAGATGGAGCCCCACGTCGGGCTCTGCGCTGACAGCGTGGAGCCTGCTTGGGATTCTCTCTCCCTCTCCCTCTCTCTCTCTGCCCCTTCCCTACTCATGCTTTCTTTCTCTCTCTCAAAATAAACAAACATTAAAAAAAAAAGTTTAAAGTAACTGTAAGCCCAAGAATAAGACAGTCAGGGGTGCCTGGGTGGCTCAGTCGGTTAAGCATCTGACTTCGGCTCAGGTTATGATCTCGAGGTTCGTGAGTTTGAGCCCCGCGTTGGGCTCTGTGCTGACGGCATGGAGCCTGCTTGGGATTCTCTCCCCTTTTCTGTCCCTCCTTCACCCGCTCTCGCTCTCTCAATCTCTCTCAATAAATCAATAAACATTGAAAAAAATACGATAGTCTCTGGAAAAAAAAAATTGCTTCTCTTAGACAAAGTGAGTAAAGTAATGAGAGTGTTTCCTTCAGTTACTGAAACACCTCCATTATTTTCAAGCCAGGCCTATGATTACCCAGGATGATTAATACACTACTTGTAGGTACGTACCCCACCAAGCATGCTACATCCGAGCGCTAAAAATTTTATCCACTCGATTTTGTTTTCGCAAGGATCCAGCTGCAGCAGAGTTCTGAAGTTTTCTACTGGCAGGCACAGATTTTTCCATTTCTGCTCAAGATGTGCTAATTCCACATACTGCTTGTGGCTACACTGTATAGAAAACACAGTATGACAAAATCAGTACGTTTTTACGTCTGCAAGTATTAAGGTTTAAAAACCCGTGAAACATAATGCCGATGAATCTTTAAACTCATCCCAGGCGCACAACTGCATGCTGGGAAGAGATGAGCTCTGAATTCACAACACAGAGAGCCCGGGGAGAGCTGGGTGGGAAGGTGTGTGGGGGGATGCTCGCCCGGCAAGAGGGCGCGGCGAGCCGATATCGGCACAGTTAACTTCTCAAAAGGAGAAAGGACGGTGAGGTCAATACGGCCTCCCGTTGTGACTTAGGAAAACGGGCGCACGCACACGGGGTAGGTGATTCTCTGTGGTCTGTGTGAAATGCTTCGCAAGAAAAAATAAACTTCAACTCTTAAAAACTGAGAACAGACTGAGGGTTGATGAGGGGGTGGGAGGGAGGGGAGGGTGGGTGAGGGGCACCGAGGAGGGCACCTGTTGGGAGGAGCGCTGCGTGTTGTACGGAAACCAATGTGGCGAAAGATTTCATATTACAAAAAAAATAAACTTCAACAAACAAAATGAAAACATTTCAAATCCCACCCGCTCCATGTGTTAACAGTTAAATAAGAGAAATTTGAAAACTGAAAACAAATTCATTCCTTCTACTTTTTGAAACAATCTGTGAGAACTGGTAACTACCGCGATGTGCTAATGGTCTTGAACGTGAAATGCTTTGAGCAATTTTAGCGTGACTTTTCCCGAGCTACCCCTTTCGATGGTTATTCGTTTTTCCCTCCAGATTTCCAGAAGTCAGCGTATCTGGCACAGAAGCACGGTAAGTCAAAAAGTGTAATGGGGACAAATCACTTTAAAGATCAAGGTGATACCACTGATGTCATTTTTAGCAACACAACGCAATCATTAGGATTGCCAAGCTTGGCCGGATAACACACAATCTGGTAACTCGTTTCTCTGAAAGCAAGATGGTGGGTCGGGAGAGCACCGGCCCGGGACTCTTGCGCAAGACTGTGTGGGTAGGGCCTCGCCCATGCCCGGGGTCTCTGGACGAAGGACACCAGACGTCAAAGGGCGCTCTGCTGTTCAGATTAATGAGGCGGCAAATTATTTCTTTAGCACATACGAAACTTTTATAAACATATTTCAAGAAGAGACTTGCAGCCCCCATGTTTGGAGTTGAATGTTCAGACTTGTAGTCCAGGAGCATCTAGCGTTGTACTTTGGTATTTAAAAGAAATTATATTTCACTTTCCTACAATCTAATCACGAATAGCTATGTTGGGTTCTTTCAACTAGAGAAAGAGCACTGAATACAACGGATCCCTCCTTTGACTAAATCTTGCGGGTTTGCACGGGGAACGGAGGCCTCGCAAAGGTGTTGGGATGCGTTAACGCAGCCACGCTTTATCTCGTGGAGCCGACAGATTAACAGAGACCCCTCATACCTGCTTGTGCAAAACTTTCAGGAGTCCTTGAGTCAGGCCTGTGTCCGTTTTCTGAGTGGCCACGGGCATTTCAATTCTGTCCTTGACAGGAAGCGGATCTCCTCTTGACAAAGCTGAAAAATACCTAACAGCAACAGATGTCCCTGAAGGCTCGTCGATACACAGAAAGCACTGTAATGAATGCGGTCTCCTAAATGACCCCCAATGCCTGGAACCCCTCCAGGGGTCTTGGCTCCTCTACTCGGCTCTCCAACTTAACCCTCTCTGCGTGCCTCAGTTTCTCTGTCTGCAAAACTGATAATGGCAATCCCTGTTGTAGGGCCCCTAGGAGCACTGAGCTCAAGCCGCAGCGGCCATCAGGCCAAGGGGCGGGGGGGCTCCCGAAACACATGTTATCATCAAGCAAACACTATGAGGGGTCCTGGAATGCGGCCAAAGAAGGTCGGAGATTTGGGACGGCAGTGACCCAAGGGCAATGCCACAGTGCAGTCCTTCCACTTTGACAGCTGGCATCTGGCCCTCCCTTTGGTTGGCCTGGCTGCCTTCCAAGGGGCCTGACTTCGACCATCTCGGTTCAGCCCGACACGGTCCTGGATCAGGGAGGTCACCTGTCTGCCCCACTCCTCTAAGTCAGAGGCCACCCTCCCCCACCCTTCACGCTTTCCTGCCTGGTACCTTGTTTTAGTAATTTTTTAGGAAACTGCTTTATTAAATTTAACAATTTAGCAATAATAGCAATTAATTTAATTAATTTAGTAATTAACAGTAACAATTTAGTAGTGGTTTTAGCATTGTTTCCCCTTTCCCTGTTCCTTTCTGGGGTGGGAATATGGGTGCTTACATCGGTACCAATACTGCCTCTAGCGGGACAAGTGAGGGCATGGAACCAGTTTAGGGCAACAAGTCAGGATGAGACACACACTCGGCTTCTGTCTGGTGGGGACGGGGAGGAGGCACCAGGCGAGCCAGGGGTGGCCAGCCGCTGAAGGCAAGTCACCGGCCACTCTCATGGCTAACACAACAAAAAGAAACAATATACACAGCGAAATGAATGGCAAATCCTCCGCAAGGCCAACAGGTCATAATCGAAAAGGTCTGAATAACGAGGGGCGCCTGGGCGGCTCAATCGGTTAAGCGTCCGACTCTTGACTTCAGCTCAGGTCACGACCTTGCGTTTTGTGAGTTCGAGCCCCGCACGGGGCTCTCGTATTGGCAGTTTGGAGCCTCCTTGGGATTCTCTCTCTCTCTCTCTCTCTCTCAAAAGTAAACTTAAAAAGTAATAAAAGATATGAGTCATTAGAAACACCTCTGATTATGTAACAGAGATAGCCGTAGCTAGGTATTTGATAGGCTAACAGAAATTTTGTACCTCGTCTCCTTTTCCTCTCTCCGCCCATATTTTGTTGACCTAACACAAGGGCAGCAGTGAGAGAGACAAAGGTGGACAGGAAGAAGTAAGGTGACAGGGGCGAGGCATGGGTGTGTAGCTTTGTCATATTGTTCCTAATTAGGGTTTTCGCCTATTTGGGGGACTTTATTCCTCATCACCGATCAAGCCACTCACCCACCTCCACACAGCCTCTAAAGCAGGTGGTCCTCAACAGTTCTCCCTTCTCCTCCCCAGGAAGGCCCTGGCAGTTTCTGGAGACATTTCTGGTCGTCACAGGAGGGGGTGGATGGTGCGACTGGCCTCTAGTGGGTACAGGCCAGGATGCTGCAAAGGGCCCTGCTAGGCCCAGACACCCCCACCAGCCCCACCCTCCCCCCAGCCCCCAAGCAATTGTCCTGTCCCAAGTGTCAACGGTGCCCAGGCTGAGAAAGCCTGCGTTAGGGGCGAGCCCCGATGTGCTAATTCCCTGGAGGCCCGTGCGGCAGAAAGCAGCCTATAGCATTGAACCAATTCTTGCCCCAGTCATACCGCACGACGCACAGGCGACGTAACAAGGTACGGCCAACTAGCTGTTGGGTCAGAGCAGAGAACACAGGCTGGGGAGCCAGGCCGAGCCGCCTCTGCCACCTGAAAGCCTCGTTTGTAACGTTCGTTAACCTGAACGCCTCCTGGAGGCTTCTGCAGTTACCTTCACAGGCATCCTGATTTTCTGCTTTTCCTCCTGTCACCATCCCTTTGTCCGGATGCCATTCCTCTTCCTGGAATACCCTTGCCTTGTCTTTTAAAGTTTTTTGTTTGTTTGTTTATGTATTTTGAGAGAGAGAAAGAGACACAGCATGTGCAAGCAGGGGAGGGGCAGAGAGAGAGGGGGAGAGAGAGAGAGAGAGAGAGAGAGAGAGAGAGAATCTCAAGCAGGCTCTGCACGGTCAGCACCAGAGCCCAATGAGGGGCTCGATCTCACAAACTGTGAGATCAAGACCCAAGCCGAAATCAAGAGTTGAGCATCTGACTTCAGTTCAGGTCATGATCTCGTGGTTCATGAGTTCCAGCCCCATGCCGGGCTCTGTGCTGACAGCTCGGAGCCTGGAGCCTGCTTCTGATTCTGTGTCTCCCTCTCCCTCTGCCCCTCCCTTGATTCTCTGTCTGTCTCTCTCTCTCTCAAAAAGAAACATTAAAAGACTTTTTTAAGAGTTGGATGCTTAACCAACTGAGCCACCCAGGCTACCCTTGCCTGGCTGTAACCTCAAAGACCAATTCATCCTCTTCTGAGCAACATCTCTCCCTAACAGATTGTCTGGTGACAGCTGGGACCTGGCTGAGACCATTTCACACACACTACTTAGTGAATAATGCTTCCTTTAACTCCTCAACTCCAAAATTGTTCTCGAGAGAAAACAGTTGCATGGCACATCCAGAAAGTTCTCAGTTGAGCCTTTTAAAGTGAAGCTTAAATTAAAATAATTTAATGTTCCAAGAAAACAGTGACTCAATCTTGGAATGTTCTGTCCAGTACAAATAAACTCTTACATGTCCTACTTTCATTGATGCTTTAATGACGGTTAAAACCAGGGCCATAATTTTTTTTCTTTGGGGGTAAGAACCCAGAGAGAATCTATCAGAAGCAACCGACAGAAGTGTTTGTCACAAGGCAAAGCACTGGATTGATAAGCAGCCTTGTGTGGTAGGTTCTGTAAGAGCCTCAAAGATATCCAGGTCCTAATCCTGGAGCCTGCAGATCTCATTTTGTGTGGTAACAGGGACTTTTGTAGATGTGAGTGAGGATTCTGAGATGGGAAAACTGAATTATCTTGAGGGGTCCTAAATGCAATCACAAGTGTCCTTGGGAGAGGGAGGCACAGGGAGAGACTTGGAGATGCCACACTTCTGGCTTTAAAGACGAAGGGGCCATGAGCCATAGAACACAAGGAAGGCAGTTCCAGAAGCTGGAAAAGGCAAGGCAAGGGACTGGATTCTCCCTAGAGCCTCCGGACAGAAGCCGTGACAGCTTGACTACAGCCAGGCGAAACTGATTTCGGACTTGCAGCCTCCACAACTGTAAGAGAATACATGCCTATTCTCTTACATACATAATACATGTTTTAACCCATCAGCTTTTGTGGTTATTCGCTAGAGTAGGCCACAGGGAACTAGGTCACCTTGGTTTTACAGGTGAGAGAAACTGGATATGCTGGTTACTAAATAAAACGTTTACATTCATACTGGTTCTTGGGATCATAAAACTGAGTTTCTAAGTCTGTTTCCTGAAAAGGACAAAGAACTTTCCTTTCAAAACCAAATGGGTTTATTTTAATGGTTTTAAGGTCTGTTTGCAACTTTAAAATTAGGGAAATAGTATGTTTGCTGCAAGAAATATTTGCCTTCTGTGAACTAAGCTGGGCGAAGTCTAACCTTTACAGCAGCCTTGGGAAAATCACCCCAACATGACTTAGGTCGTTTGGGTTCTAATAAACTGACCCAGGTACCTAACCCTGGGAGGAACCTAGCCCTAAGATTCCTTCTTGTAAAAAAAAAAAAAAAAAAAAAAAAAAAAAAAAAAAAAAAAAATCACTTTACATATAAAATACAGGGTCTGCAGTGGTTTGGTCTTCTAAGACAATGCAGAAACTTTTTTACCCGACGCAACTGCTTTGTAAGTTTTACTCTGAGTAAGTACCACTCTCCCACGGTGGAGTTGTCATTACTTTGCAGGACAGTGAGCATTCTGCAGTAATTTCTGGGAAGGTCACCCAACCATGATGCTTCCTAGACGCTCAGGTGTAGACACCAGCTGGGGAAGGTGTCCTGGGCGTCGGACCACGCGAAGCGGCCGGCTCTCCCAGGCGCTTACCCCGCGGACCACTGCAGCACGTCGGCGGGCTGGGTGCGGATCGCAGCCTTGGTGAACTGCTTCAGGATGTCGGGCAGTTCCGGGGGAATGTGGATCTGCTGCGCGCAGAACATGGTGTCGGGAAGCGGCATCGCTCTCCGCAGACCGGGACCAGGCTGCGAAGAATCAAGGTGCGCTGCGTGTGGGGGCGTGAGCCTCGGGGCGCAGGCGCAGCTCAAGGGTCTGGCCGCCCAGCCTCCCCGGATCTGGAGCCTGGAGGGGACCTGGGGTTTGTGGCGGGGCCGGGCTCCCGGACTTGGGGGGCGGGCCAGGAGGCCGGCTTCGAGAGGTCTGGGGTGGCCGGCCGGGTCTTTCAGCCGCTCCTCCTCGGGCTCCTCGGAAAGTGAAGGCCAACTGCCCCTTCTAGTCACAGCCCGGAAGCGCCAGCGGCACCCATTGTGTCGCAGAGGTATCCAGGCAACCGGGACGCATGAGGGCCCCGCCCCCTGGCTCCGCGCAGGAGCGCACGCCTCGGGCCGAGACCGCACGGTCGCCCGCGCCGGGCGGCAGGTAATGCGCTTGCGCAGTCTGGCTCCTGCCCCCTTTCGCCACTAATTGGTTGTTTATACCGAGCCGAACGTTTCGCTTAGAAAAGGACCTTTTTGGTCGATTTCCCACTGCCAGTTGTAAGGGCGAATTCACAAAGGACTCCCCTTCCCCTTGCTCTGGCGTCGTAAACTTAAGGACGAGGTGACTCAGTCCTCGTAGGTAGGAAGCCGTTGTAATCATGGGGGCTGGTCGGTGCAGGTGGCACGAGCTCCCCCCTCCCCCGAAGGAATGTGGCCCTGCCTTCCTCGACTGTCGCGCTCATGCTGCACGTGCTCGTCCAAGAGGCCCCCAGCCTCGATACCATCGCATCTCCCACTCAGTCTGCTGATTTCAGTTTAAGAGCCACTTAGGAGTTTAGACAGCGGGTGATTTTCAGCTAAAAGAAGATTCTGTTTAAATTGTTTTCCTAAGGAAGGCAGAATGGTTGAGCCAATATGATTGGGTCTAGAAGGACATAAGCCATGTCTTCTGATACAGTAGCTTCGGGTCCATGGATAGAGTAATTGGCTCTATTCTGGTGAATCCTGACCAGGGCAGTGTACAAGGCGGCTACGTTTAAACCCACCCTGAATGTATGAGGCCCCCGAAGCCTGCTTTCCCCTGCTCGCCTGTAGCCCGGACAACGGAGAATTGGAATAAGTTATCTCCAGGAAGAGTCAGGCAGCCCTTCCTCCTGCCCTAGAGGCATCACCCCCACCCATGACCCCTCTACCTGGGCACACACATTTCCAAATTAACAGCATTAGCAAAAACTTAAAACAGTCAATATTTAATGTTGATAGAATATGGGAAAACAAGGAATTTCATATGCTGGTGAGAGAAGAATGTCAATTAGTACCTTTGGGGGCCACTTGGCACTATATTTTGATGACTTACCAATCTTTTACCGATTGATCCTACAGAAATACTAGCCTGAGTATATAAATTAGTATGGACAAATGTGTTTATTATAGCATATAATAAAATGGGTTAACTAATGGTCTTTCAGAAAACTGAAATCATAATCTTATCCACACAACAGAATACAATACAGCCAGAATTATTAAATGAGGTAGCTACTTAAGTGTTGATATAAAAAGATGGTCATGAAATATAAAGCAGAAAAAAAAAAAGCACCCCATTGAGCAGAGTCTGTGGGAGCACACTACCTATATTGTGATAAAAGGAGTCTGTGAATGTATGTTGACCCACACCACATTCTGGAAACAAACACTAAACTACTAATAGTGGTAATTACCTCTGGAGAACGGCACAGGTTTTCAGTTTTTATTTTAATCCTAGACACGTTATTTTTATGCTGTTTCATCCATTTATTTACTCGAGTATTTATTGAATATGGAATATGTCCCAAGAACCGTTCTGAAATACAATAGTAATCTCCAAATAGTTACCAAAAAAAAAAAAAAATCTCCGAAGCTTACATTCAAATGGGGGGAAACATGCTAATGTAAACAATACAGGAAAACCATATAGTATGTTAATACATATGAGAGACAGAACACAGCAGTAGAGGGGTCGGGGAAAGCCCCAGGAGCTGCAATTTTAGATAAGCCTAAGAATGACACTTCAGTGAAGAAAGGAAGAACTTGGGGAGAGCCTAGAGGAAGAACAGTAAGGCACAGCAAGCAGCAAGTGCAAAGGCCCAGAGGTTTGATCTGTTCTGGAAGCAAGGAGGCTGCCTGGAGCACAGTGAGCACAGGGGGCCTCAAAGCGACTGTGGACTTGGGACTCTGTGATGGTTAGCTACCTGGGTAAAGGACTGATGTGATCTTAGATCTCAATATGATCACTCCGGATCCAGTGTTGAAAGTCAATGGAAGAAAGAAAAGAGAGCATGGGCAGAGGCCAGGAGCTCCAGAGAAACTGCAGTGACCCAGGCAGGAGGAAGATGATGGTGCTTTGCACCAGGATGGTAGCAGTGGGGGTGCTGCGACGTAGCCAGAATCCAATTTATTTTGAAGTTAAGACTTGCTGCCCAATTGTATGTGAAGCGTGGAAAAACAAGTGTCAAAGGTATTACCAACATTTTTTATTTAGCAACCTGAATCCGTCCAGGTGCTTACCAACTGAAAGGGGAAGTTTGAGAAAATAAATCTGGGGTAGGGGAATCACGAGTTGTGTTTTGGACCTACTAAGTTCGAGATGTCCGGAGAGTCCACATAGGCAGCCGCACGGATGTGTCTGGAGTTCCAGGAAGGAAGATGGAATGAGTAAATAAATATATATGTGAGTGACCAGCATCCAGACGGCCTTTAAAACTATGAGAGTAAGTGAGATCACCATGTCAATAGGTGCAGGTAGAACAGAGGTCCCAGACTGAGCTGAAAGGCAAGACAGGGTCAGTGAAGGAGTTTATAAAGCAGAGTCCACAGACAAGTAGGAGGAAGATGAGGGGAGTGCTGTGTCCTGAGAGCCAAGGGAAATGGTTTCACTGGAGAGAGGGACCAGCTATTTCCGGTGAGACCCGAACATTAACCACCGAAGTTAGGGGTGGCCATTGGTGGCCTTTCACGAGAGCAATTCCGGCGGAAGAGTGGAGCATAGCTGATTGTAGTAGGGTTGGAAAAGGAGAGGAAAAATTCGAAAGTGGGAGTACGATAACTGAAGGGCTTTACTGAAAAGGAAAGCAAAATAGAGCAGATGAAGGAGGTGAAGATTTTTCGTATGCAAGAAACAACGGAAACGTCTGGATGATGGGAAGGAACCACAACAGTTACCATGAGGGAGAGGGAGATCTGCAGCAGCGCCTTGAGCGGGTGAGAGTCCTGTCCATCCAGTGAGGCCGTGCAAGGCGGGCAGGGCTCAGGGAGTGATTGCTCATGAGCCCGGGAGCGCATTTCACTCTGCGTACAGGGCAGGCACGCCGGAGGGGACGTGCATGGCCTGCATGGCCCACGGGGCATCTGGGCACAGGTGCAAGTAAGAGGGTAAATGTGATGGTGTGAACTCGTGAAGACTTGTTCCGATTGCTTCGGTCTTCTCGGTGAAATAGAAAAGTCATCAGCCAAAAGTCAGAAAGGAGAAGCGGGCACTTTGTAGAAAGATAAGGTATGAAATGATTAGAGAGCATATATGAACATGGTATTTATTTTTGAAATCAAGATGTAATTAACATGCAAATTGCACAAGTTGAAAATGTGCAATTCTTTGACATATGTATACATGTCAAACCACATCAAGATAACGGACACATCATCACCCCCATTTCCTTATGCCCCTTTGAAATCTCTCCATGTCCCTCCCCACCAACCCCCACTCATGTGCTTTCTATTGATTTCTGTAGGTTACTCTGCATTTTCCAGAAGTTTTGATAAACGAAAGCATACATTTTTGGTCTGCTTTCAATCAGCATTGGGACTTGTCCATGTTGCGTATATCAAGTTAATTGCCTTTTATTGGAACAGTATTTCATTGTATGGATAATCATTTATCTCTTTCCCTGTTGTTGGCCATGTGCATTTTTTCCACCTTTGGGCTATTACAAATAAAGCTACCATAAACGTTCATGTCTGAGTCATCATAGGGACTTACTTTTCCCTCAGTCAGTAACTGGGGGTGGTGAGTACTTACTATAACCTTTTAAGCACTGCCCATTATTTAATTAAAACAATTTTATTTTATTTTATTTTTTTTTTTTTATGTTTGAGAGAGAGAAAGAGAGTGTGTGAGCAGGGGAGGGACAGAGAGACACAGAATATGAAGCAGGCTCCAGGCTCCGAGCTGTCAGCACAGAGCCTGACTGGAGGGGGCAGGGGGTGCCTGGGACCCACAAACCGTGAGATCACGACTTGAGCTGAAGTCAGACGCCTAACCGACTGAGCCACCCAGGCGCCCCCCAACTGTTCTAAAGTAATTAGCTCACCCCTTTACTCTCCTTCCAGCACAGCGTGAGCATTCCTCACATTCTCACCGACACGTGGTATGGTATTTTTAGTCATTCTGATATGTGGTGGTAACTCACAGGTTTTAATTTCTATTTTCCTAATGGCTTTTACATTGACCAGCTTCTCATGTGCTTATTTGCTATCTGTATGTCCTCTTTAGTGAAGTGTGCTTAAGTATTTTGCCCATTTTAAAAATGGGCAAATGGATCTTCTCAAACTACTGAGTTTTGAGACTTTATTCTGAATGCATGTCTATTATCAGAAATGTTCTGCAAATATTCCCTGCCACTCCATGGCTTTTGTTCTCTGAATGACATATATCAGAGAGTGGACATTTTCAATTTTGATAATGTCCAATTTATCAAAATTTTTTTCTAAGGATTGTGCTTCTGGGCTGTATCCAATCTAAATCTTTGCCTTACCCGAGGCTGAACATTTCTCCCTGTTTTTTCCCAGAAGTTATATAGTTTGAGCTTTCATGTTTAGGAATATAATAATTTTAATTTTTGCATATGTTGAGATAAGGATCAATTTTTAACTTTGCATCTGGATGGCCAATTGTTCCAGCACCATTTGTTTGACTTTCGCACCTTGTCAAAACTCACCTGTCCCTACGCATGTGGGTCTATTTCTGGACTTTCTGTTCTGCTCCATCAGTCCAGTGGGTTTGTGTAACTGGCAGGAGGGACGGATGCAACTGAGCCAAGAAAAAAGGAGTTATTGAGGGGGTTGCTGACACAAAGCTTCTTGTCCTAAAAAAGCTACTGAACAAATGTGGAAAAGCAGAAAGACACTGCACTGTTGCATATGTGCAAAAAGAGAAGTTTCAAGAGGAAGATTAAGCACGTACAGGGGTGCAGAAGGGACTGCCTCCACCCAGGTCACGGCGGCTGTCGGCCCATTCCAGCACAGTGTGGGGCTGTGGGAGGCAGACTGCGGTGGGGGGGGGGGGGGGGACGAGTCTATGCGTACAGGCGGC